TTGCCCTCACCAAGCCACACTGCGCCGAATGGAGATTTGGAAATTCTTTTCATCTTCAAGACTTTTATAGGTCTCTGGTTCACACTGCAATCCTCGAGCCCTGAAAACTGATGCGCCTCCGCAGTTTTTGTGGGATATTTGTCGATATGCTGTAAGTTAAGGCAACATGGCCACTTTGGTTGCTGTTGTAAAGGTGGATATATTGACAGCCTCTTTAGGCTCAACAAGCTAATGTTGCAGCAGAACGTCATGACGAGAAGGCTCCAGGAAGAAAAATCTTGTCAGAACCTTTAAGGTAAGTTGTTCCCAATCTGCTCCTTCTGTACGCTGTCTTGAGTTTCTTCCCTATTTATGTAGTTGCTATCGTCGCAACCAGTGAAGTCGAATCCGCTAGTGGGTCATGTTATCGAAGCAGCGTTCACAGTTCGCTACATCGACGAGTCAGCCGCGCGTCTCAAGCAATTCTTCGAATAGCGGTGGAGTGCAATGGTCAACAGTTTGAGTAATCGGTGTGCGAACTATGAACGCTGCCATGGCAACAGTAGTCTGACAACTCTTTAAGGGCCCGTCGTTTGTGATTCTCGCCGGGGTGGGGTGGGGTCGCAGTCGGTCAGTTGAGGGGATTCGTGTTTGCTCCAGAAAAATAAATTGAATTTGGTTGTCCACTTGGACCGGTTTATCGGCCTCAAAAGTGCTCCCTCTACACTGCCCGCTTGACAGCAGTCTTTTTAGGGAAAATTATAGCAATTTTCGGAAAAAAAACTCCGCAAAGTGGTAGGAATTGGTAAAAGGGTGGGATTTCGGAGTGGGAGGGGGGTCGTGTTTTGCGAAAATTCTCCACAACGGCAAGACGTGCCTTGCCACAAATTTAGGTATTAGGAATGAATGTGTGGGCGCATAAATGTTTTCAAGTTTTTCTCAGGAGCGAAGTAAGCTTCCGACTCCATCCGGGAGCTACACAACAAACGAAAGATGAGCAGATGGTTCGATTTCAATGTAATAAGGTCTGCGGTTCATTGAATTTCTCCAATTTTTTCGATGAATCATCTGTTCGAGAACGTTATTTCTGTGGTTCAGGGGAAAAACTGTGGTCCGAGATCAAGAGCAAAAGGATCCGACAACTCGACAAATGCTGCTTTCTACGTGAGGCCTGAGAATGATGGTGAGCAAAAAGAGGAAAAAGCGCCCGAATAGACTCACTGCTTGATTGTTGATTTTTGTTACTGTTGTGATATATATGTTGTTGTGAATCATTGTTGTCCGTTATAAAGTTGTACTATGTATCAAAGGCGCTAGTAACCTTGAAGGGGGCATTTGAAGGACTGTTCGTGCAAAAACCTGTGAGCGGCATCAAAAGGACCTTTCGAGCAAATCTAGTATTACCTTATTGGGGACCAGGGCTCCATTTCAAGCCTGGACGAAAAAGAACTCTGGAATGGATAACCCACTTTCAACTGAGATACTCCTGTTCGGATGAGGTTCATCTATGCTTTCCATGAGATGTCAGTGAAATGCCTTCCACCCCTCCCTGAGATTACCAGCGCCGTGTAGGTGAGAGGAACAACCCCAAAAAGTACAAATTTGGTCACTATTGAGTTCGAAATGCTCAGAGCGGATAAAACATCAAATTTGGAATTGTGTTTTGTGTAACCACGCATTTCAGATGAAGCGATTCATTGACACATTAACACATTGACGACAGCGTGAAGGCCACGTGGGACCGCGCGAATTGTATACGAGACACGGTCAAAAATTCATATCATTTGCCAGTGCAGGGTTTTTTGATTAGTTTCTCCTATTCACCCTATAGTCCAGTCCTTAGTATACTCGTAACGCGTGGTCCACGAAATAGTTTAGTATACAATAGTTCAGCAAAGACTTTTTGGGAAAAGATCATCCTTTGCTTGGATTGGTTTGCTCTTCAAGTCTTTACTAACAAATATAGACAAATTCAATATAAAGAATGATAGAAGGTATATGATGAAGAATCACTGTATCCTATAGAAGGCGCGAGTTGTGTATAGAAGAAATTCTGGCACCTGGTGCAACGAGAGCTGACCTGCCTATTTTTTTTCCAGAGTGACGGGTTAGCTTACCTTATAACTTGCTCCTAAAACCAGGTTTTCTGATCGAACCTCCAAAAAAGACGCCTCGTGGGACGGCGTGAACACCAGGCGTACCGTGCCTGTCGCGTTTGAGAAAGCGCACGTGTCCCATAAGGGGAAAAATAAAAACCCGCGTTGTCGTCAACGTGTTAAAGATACAGTCTACCTAGTGAGTATACACGTTCCCTTGAACCAAGTGCTCGAGAAGGGGTCGAGTGAGCAGTGCCATTTCGACACGGAAAACTGCGTAAGCAGACTGACATGCCTGACTTTGATAAGAGAGAATGAAAGAAGAGCTCTCAAAATAGTGCTGTCCCGGAGCCTCATTGCAATCTGAATGTTGAACACATAAAAGAGGC